GACAGAGGGATCACCTTTCTTGTGAATAGGCACAACTTGTGCCTCACGCCAAAGGGAAGGGGTGTAGGACCATTGGTAGCAGAGAGCAAAGAGGAGAGACAGGACCCTAGCCAGAGGCTTTTTGATGGGCTGCAGCATTTCTGCACGCAGATGGTCAGAGCCAGGAGCTTTACGACGAGGCAGGAGCTTGATGTGACTCGTGATGGTATCCAACTGCCAGACGGCAGAGGAACCATCATCAACACTTGAATCAGTGCTGAGGTCGCCATCACCGTCCAAAGACGATGAAGAGTGGATCACACTTAACGACCGAGACACAGAGGGAGAACCGAGACCAACACCATCGCCCTGAGACGATGAGGGGTGGACCACACCATATGGTACGGAGAGATCAGAGGGAGGGAGGGAGCCGTCATCACCGCCCGAGGACGATGAAGGATGGGCCACATCATACGGCAGGGGAGCACTGGGGAGGTCCGGAGGACGCCCAGCCGGGAGAGAGGAGCCAGAGTACACGGAGGCAAGGTGGTCATGCATAGCGATCGCACCCGCCGCATCACCGTCTGGATTCACATAGCCAGTCTGTCGTTCCCGACGAGTCTTGATCCGCTTGATTTTAGAAAGCACCGTCTTGCTGAAGTCATCGTTCTCGAGAGAGTCACAAAAGGCGCGCCAGGAGGCTTGTTTCGCTCGACGTAGGTCTTGCTTGAACTTGTTGTGGGCCTCGATGTGCTTGTTCCACCAGAAGATCTTGTCCATTGCACTATGGCAACGTCGCCATCGACGGTAGAACCGCTCACGTCGCTCAGCAGCTTCTTGGAGGGCAGGGGTCCAGAACCGTTTCCAGAGGGCCGGCCGTTGGGCACGGGCACCAACCGACGAGTCCAACGAAGTGTATATCGCCTCATTGAGCCGAGTATTGAGGGCATCAATATCTGGGCGAGAACGAGGAGGGGAGGACAGAAGAGAAGAGAGATCTTGGATAAGGGAGGAGGACAGAGAAGCAAACTGGTGATAGAAGAGGTCACGAACATCAGACTCACTTAACCGGGATAGATTCCAACAACGACGGATGCAAGGGATAGAAGGGGGAGACTCGCGGGCAGAGGGATGACCTACAGAGGCTGGAGGGGGGCAGTACTGCAATGACAAAGACATCAGCTTGTGGTCAGAGCCCAACGACAGATCTGAAGCTATGGCAATAGAAGAAGAAGGGGGTGAGGTATCAAATGTCGACAAGTTGGTAATAAAATAATCAACAATACTACTCACAGGGCGGCCATGACGGAAGTCAAGAAGCGTCGGGGTACCGTAGGAGAGGTGGCGGTTCAAGATTGACAAATTATTGTCCCTGCACCAGTCAAGGACGGTAGTACCACGAGAGTTGTTACCTGAGTCACCAGTAACGTCGCCAAGGCGTGCGTTCAGATCACCACAGATGATCGTGTCATGGGAGAGAGGAAGCGAGGAGAGCACAGCAGAAACATCCGAGCATCTCATAGAAGGCTGGTCAGGCGGGAGATACAAGCAGATCAGACGCAAATGACGACCAAGTTGAATGCCAAGTGCGAACTGATTGCCGGGTAGGGGGACTTGGAAGGCTGGCAGAGGACAGGAGGGATTGATAAGACAACAGATGCCTTGCGATCCACGGTAATCACCAGAGACGGGGATACCGGGAAGGTGGAACTGTTGCCAAGAGGTGGGGAGATGGCAGGGCGAGAGCAACCAGGTTTCGGTGATAAACACCACAGAGAACGATTGGCAGTGACGGAGGACATCATCTATCGTGGATTCCCGTAGACCGCGAGCGTTCCACAGGCCGATAGTGATAGGGATAGGAGAGAGAGAGGAGCGGTTATTAAGGATAGGAGGAGGAGAAACAGGAGAAGGAGAGGAGGCAGGAGAAGGGTGTGTATTAAGAGGAGCACTTAGAGCACTCATTAATACTCTTCCATGGCGGTATCAGAGAAGTCGGAGTCGTCGTTAGAGTAATCCAGAGGATCATCACGAGAGGCAAAGGGTTCTTGGGAGCAATGGATCGAAGATCCTCCTCAACGACCCAACCAAGGTGCATGAATTCACGGGCGACGGGAGCAAACAAAGTGAGGCGATGCTGCGCTAAGTACTGCAGCGATCGGAGACAGCGTTGATGGTGCAGACGGCCGGCCACATTGGCCCGTTCCTCGAGAGAAAGAGCAGAGTACTTGGGGTCGGCGACGTGGTCAGGGTGAAGCGGGTCAAAGCCCTGGATGGTGGCAACCTTGGCGGAGGCGAGAAGGGTTTCAAATTCTGCTTGGAAACCAAGATGGATAAGCAGGCCAATGACATTTCTAGCCGGGAACGAAATGTCAATCACGCGACGGGGATCGATACCAAGGAAGCGAAGGTTTCGACGAACTTCCGACTTGGTAAAACGGCGGGAACGATTAATGTACACAGTTGTGTACCCAACAGGACCGGAGGTTTCGTTGAAACCACGGACAATAGCTTCACGACGCTTGGGGGTAGCTTGCTGTGGCAGGGGGGACTTACCAGAACCCTTGGAAGCCTTCTTAGGCTTACGGGCGGCCACTGTGCTCCATTGGGAGGCTTCAGTGCCTTTGGGGACGGCGGGTGTGGAGGCAGCAGGTGTGGGGCGGCAGGTGCGGGGCAGGCGTGGGGACAGCAGGCGTGGGGGCAGCGGCCGCAGGGGCGGCAGATAGTTCAGCGAGGCGGGCACGGAGCTCAGCGTTTTCACGCTCGGCGGCCTGGTACTTACTCGTCATTTCGGCTAGCTGTTCCTCGAGCGCAGCGAACCGGGCGATGGTAGTGTCATGCTCAGTGACCCTTGCGGATAACTGAGCGAGTTGGGCGACTATGGCAGGGATGTCCGGAATGGTGGAAATTGGCATTTCGGGCATGGCGAATGTCGAAATTGCAGAAAATGCTGAAATCGAAGGGATGAAACAAAAAAGTGAAAATGGCTGAAATTTAAATATGTTATAAAGCTAAATGAAAGCGTTTATAATATATTTAGATGGACGCGGTCAGGTTACTAGTTCTCGAGATATTCGCGGTCAAAGTCGAAAAAAACGGAAAATGTCGAGAAATCACGGTTCGAGATCGTAGCAAATAGTTGGCGGATTGAGCTGAAAGTTGGTATTCTGAAAGAGCTAAGAGAGGGCTTTCCAATGGTACTAGTTTCGTAGATGGATGGCTGTTTGCTGTAGAGTTATTGAGCTGTAAAGATTGGCGTTCGTAACTTTTTTTATTTTTCTGGGTTTGAATTCAGAAAAAATTAAAGAAAGCGGAAGAAAAGGTGGGGGATGTAGCTCAAATGGTAGAGCGCTCGCTTAGCATGCGAGAGGCACTGGGATCGACGCCCAGCTTCTCCAACTTTTTTCACTGTAGTACGTTTCTACTGTTATCACTTTCCGGATTATCTTATAATTTTGTCAACCTTTTGAGGCCTTTCTTTCGTCTATTCAGTACATTTATTGAACTGACCAATCAGATTGCAGCATTTACAACCAACAACTACATTTCTACATTCAAGATCTCTAGTCATCGATCAACCCATGACGATCGAATTACAAACCAAGCATGGGACTAACTGGTCAACCATCGTGGCCAAAGGTTTAAAAAAAAAAAAAAACCAAAGTACCCCTTCCTCGAAGTCAGTTTGATATTTCAGGAAAGAAAAAAAAAAAAGAGTTGTACACTGTCGAAACTATTTTCGAAGAACCTGAGGTCGGTGAATACCTCCGTTCTCAGCGTATACAATCCCATTGTACAGACCGCTCTCATGCCCGGAGCTGTTACACCGATTACTGTAATAAAAATTCACGCAGACTTGCGAGGTATCACTCTTTTCTGCGTGGTGTAACAGATATTTGCACGAAAATTTCCAGCACGCAAGTGTACCATTCACCTTGCAGATTTGTATGGTACCAATCAGTCTGCACCGGCTTTCTTGCAAATAAGACGTATTTGCATGCTGCTATGCACTTTTGCAACAACACTTTCATGCCTCTCTCTCTTTTTTTTTTTTTTTTTTATTATTTTTTTTGTTCATTTTTCTTTTTCTTTTTTCTTTTTTTTTTATTTAAAAAGATACCAATTATGATGCATTTGCATTTTCCAAATTACATTAACGATTGACCAAGCTTATAATTAGGACTTCGATCAGTCAATTCATAGATTCATTCACGAATATTCAAACTTTTAGAGGACAGTGTGTCACGTTCTGACCTCTAATTCATATAACAATCTGAGAAACAATCCAGATTTACTGCCTTTACCAGTTATAGTGTACTGGAACAAATAAGATTCCAGGCACACTGGGACAAATAAGATTTCATCAGGCACACTTCAACCTTACTGGTAATCTAGATATATCTCAGTGGCGTTGTACAATTCATTAACAGGAACAATATTACTCGGTTGTCACTACTACTTTCTTAATTCCACTATAAGCTCAGATTAACCTCGCAGGTTAAAGTGTAATATATGCCTACACATCCAATTTTGAAACTCAATTCTACCCCAGATACTATAGATAGTAGTCGGACGTTGGAATATAGTGGCAATTAAATCTCAACCTCGTTGGGTACTATATATGGTAATGGAAGATTGAAGCATATACAATAGTTTTAATACTACAAGTGAAGTTTTTATTTTGAAGGCTCTTCGAAAAGAGTTGTCAGTTGGCTAATCTATAAAGCTCTAGGTAATCATAATTTAAAGTAATTTTGATGTACATAATATATATGGCTGTGATGATAATCCAAAGAATTATAAGTAAATAGTCAAGCTTGTTATCAATTTTCCAGAAGCACCATCTATTATGATAGAAAATAGTTCAATTCTGAAGTATATCCTTTATTTACTATTCAAAATAAACTTGAGGCCTTAACGTCACAGTGGACTATAGCCTCCGAAGCACTTCGTCCAATCAGAATCGCCTAATCATTGTTGACGGGACTTGAACGACATTAAAACCAATGCCGATAATGGATGACCCCAAGTAGCTCAGTTGTTAGCACTAATGACTGGGATTCGTAAGGTCGCCGGTTCGAATCCTGCTGTGTTCACTTTGTGCTGCCTGGGTCTTATGACTGTCTAGAAAGCTTTAAGCTGCCTGGGTCATAAGACTGTCTAGAAAGCCTAAAACCGTGTTCACTTCGGGGGCACCGCTGCACAGTAGACACAGTAAGGATTCGAGCCACCTTTTTTTTATCAGTGTATGTAGTGCATGTAGCTTTTAGAGAGTATATTTAAGAAAATTTGCAAATAAGTTTTGTTAAACAAAAAAAAAAATAAACAAAGAAAAAATAGGTTTTGTAAAAAAAAACAAAAAATCAAATGCATCTACAGTAAATAAAAGTTATGTATGTACAAGTTTTAACTACTTATGCTAATTTTTTTTTTTATTCATTATCAGAATCAGATGTATCATCTGATGCAGAAGCATCATCAAACAAACGGGTACTATTAATGTTTTCTGAATCATCAATTTCCTCATCGGATTCATAACCAAATCTGGTCCAAATATCATCTTCTAAATCGACAAAATCATCATTTTCTACATCATTAAATGAAATGGTTTTAAGAGCATGTATTAAACCACTCCATATATCGTTTCGATGTTTTTTTCGCCAGATATATTCGATTAGTTTCCATGGCACCATTTGCTTTGTTCGATGGCGAGGGCGTATGTTGATTTTAATACCATTCCATACACCTAATTTATAAATAAAAAGTAAATAAATCGAATTTTCTTCTCTTAAATAAAGTAATTACCTTCAATAGTATTTGTGTGGATATTTCCAGCACGTACAAACTGTTGAGAATGGTTAATTGACTCATGAAGAAAATGACAACCTTCAATATTGGGTATGTTATCGTAAGCACGCCAACAATCAGATATATAATCGATCCAGGAAGAATAAATCGTTTAATGATTCTCTCTAACGTGGCGGCTGTCCGATCGTGTACGATGGTCAGAAAGACTTTTTTCTCTTCAGTTCTTTCAACACCACCGAAAACCCAAACTCCTTCAACATGATGTCCTCGATGATACTTTCGTTTGCCAAACTTGGATTCATCGATTTCAACAACTATACCTTCACCACCTATAAAAAACTAGTTAATACAGAATGTAGTTTTTTAGTTTTAATATTACTTACCAATCATTATATCGCTTCAACAATATCAGCTTCAATTAACTTGTATATTTTTTTTATTATTCCAGAAATAGTTCTGGATTTAATCTTGCTGTTTGACGTATATGGGCCAAGTTCGAATCTGTAGCCCAGCACCAAATAACATAAAGAATTTTATTTATAGGTGCCTTTAAATTGTAAAAGAAGGAACCTTTTCGTAAAGTAACTTCACTTCTATTACAACAATTTCTTCTTGGACACTTCCAATAAAAACCACGATCTGTTTTCCATTGTAGTGTCATATTTGTACCATTACGGCATTGCATTGATTCATAAAATACTCCTTGTGAACGAAGATATCTATATTTACGAGTAAATAAATATGATACTCAACAAAAAAAAAAAAAAAGAAATCCAATAAACTTACTGAAAAGTATATCTAGGAGTTACTAAAATCGAATCATATCATCAAAGCTGGGAGCTAAAGTACGCATTTTTTCAACAAAAGTTATTATATGTAAATGAGAAGACTCTAAGAAGTAGTAGGTTATGAAGTTAAGTGAAGTAAAAAGAAACGAAAAAGAAAGCATTTATTCTTTTTAAATTGCGCTTCTTAAAAAAAACCCTTCGGTGTTTGGATTGAGTCTAAATTTTTATGTGTAGGCATATACTGCAACAGATCCACCTCGCATTCATATAAAAGACCATTCAATTTCTAAACCAAAATAAAATCATCCAAGAACTATTGTTCGGTCTCGCTGACTCACTCAGTCTCTATATCTAAAACTTATTAAATTATAACTCCTGATATCTAAGAATACCACAATTTTATAGTACTGGCAGCAATAAAACAGATAGCGAAAGATTTGATTGTATTTCTGTGAACTTTATAATATAGTAGGCAAATCAGCTAAGTGTTTTAGCTGCGATTGCCAACATCTGAAAATAATCTTGGTTCTGAATGAACCTTTCCGTTCTATATATACATATATGTAAAGGAGCGATACTGAAGCAAAACTACAGCACTTTGCTAACTGTGTGATTTCCGTTTGACATGGCTACATAAATCAATCATTTAAATTTGAAGTAGCAATGCTGACTTATAGTTGTTGAACATCGTTTGCTGTTATAAGTTTTGCGAGCTTTTCAGTCTTCTAAAAAAATAAAAAGATAAATAATAGACAGGTATGAAGAAAACAAAAAGGAAAAAATAGCTAATGAAAACTGGAATGACTAGTTGGCATTGACTAAAGTTTATTTTATACAGGTAGATAGCAAAAATTGACTTTTGAAGAGAATCGTTACAGATGAGTAATTGCAAAGTAAATGCTCGTTGTATATGTATTGCTAAAGCTTTATTTTTAACAATGATGAGATAAAAACGAAAAAGGTAAAGGAAGAAAAAAGACAAATTCTGCTGTGTACCAGCTTAAATTAGAGCCATATTATTTCCTTTTTTTTTTTCTTTTCACATTTGCTTATTTATTCACTTTTACTTTTTTTAAAGCACTATCAATACTTTTGTACAGTGCTGCTATTAACCGGCTCACAAAAATATAAAATGATCTGTACAGTGCAATAATTACGTCAGAGCTACGAAATAAAGACCACTAGATAGCCCAAACGTCATAGTATAAGAAAGGAAGAATGACGTAATCATATATTGTTACACAAAGCTGCAAATAAAAAAAACTTGATTTTGGACTAAATGTAAAATGATACAAATATGATTCAGTGTACCTTAAACTCTATTTTAGCGTACCTGATGCAATGATAACGTATCATTATGATGTAGAGAAGCTGAAAAATATATAAAGGCGACATTTTTACACAGTTTTCCTCATTACACTCTCACTTTTATCTCTCACAACTACTTCTCTACAATGCCATATAAACTCAGTAACGACAAACGAAATGACGTCATTTCAATGATCAAGGCCGGAAAGGGTACTAAAGACATTGTACAAGCCACTGGAGTGTCTAAAGCCCAAGTTGTTCGCATGAAAAAAGAACATGATCCTGATCGCATTAAATCTCGTGGTGGTAGAGTCAGTATTGTGTCCAATTACACAAAGCGAGTCATATCTTTTAGAGTCCGAAAAGGTTTCTTATTATCAGCAAAAGATGTCCAAAGATATCTGTGGTCTCTTGGTTACAAATTTCAATACTCTTCCACAACAAGACTCATGAGATCCCTTGGCCTTAATTCTCTGTATAAAAAAAAGAAGCCTTTAATCAAGAGAATCAACCAGAAAAAGCGATTGCAATGGGCCAAAAAACACCGTGACTGGACTGTAGAGGACTGGAACAAGGTTATATTTTCCGACGAAACCAAAATTAATAGATGGGGATCAGATGGAGCTCAGATTACGTGGAAGCATAAGGACGACCCACTTCGACCCCATAATTATCAGACTCAATTAAAAGGTGGCGGAGGCTCAATGATGGTTTGGGGATGCATGACATCATTAGGAGTAGGTTACGCATGCCGTATTATCGAGTATCCATGAATTCAGAACTGTACACCCATATCTTGGCTACTTCGTATAAGGATACACTTGAGTACTTTGGTCTTAGCAACGAGGAAGTCATCTTTCAACAGGACGGAGACTCAAAACACACCTCGCAATACACAAAAAAATGGCTTGCAGACAATGGAATAAGGTATATTGAAGACTGGCCACCAAATAGTCCCGATTTAAATCCGATTGAACACCTTTGGCACCATGTCAAGTTGAAGTTAGATGCATACGACACTAAGCCCAGAAATATGAATGAATTGTGGGATAGATTCGATAAAGAATGGAATAAATTCACTAAAGATGACATGAAGAAGTATTACGAAAGCATGCCCAAAAGAATCGAAGAAGTCATCAAGGCTAAAGGTGGATATACTAAGCGCTAATGTTTTGTAGCCTGATTGATTTTACAGTCATTTTTACATTTTTTCATATTCCGCCCAAATTTCCTAAATAGTATTTTATAAAATTTTGTTCAATAAAACTATGTTACTTAAGCAATATTCACTCAAAATTTGAAGAGTCTAGCTTCATTTCTGCAGAAGTTATCTTAAATTATATTTTTGTGAGCCGGTTAATAGCAGCACTGTAATATCTTCCAACTCTACTTTGACTTTTAAAGCTGTCATTCACTTCGTTCGACTGCTTGAATGCTCAATTACGTGTCAAATGGACCGATGAAATCTTTAAACTGATTAGTTTCTTTTCCTCCTTGTTCAACACGCTCCTTTTCAACAAAGTTATACTCGACTATGCGACGACTATACAATGGCAGAGAAAGTAAACTTGTACGATCGGATTGAGTGAGAGAGGCAGCATAACTTGTATTTGATTTTTATTGAACTATTTTTATGAATGTAAAAAACCACAACTACTGTACAATTTGAAAGATAAGCAATATGGAGACAATAGTAATCTTTTTAACGTGCGAGACGATGCTTGGTTTTGGAATGATGGCTTTATTGTAGATTGATTATATGAATCGAACAAGTTTAAAGAGTAAAAAGGTTTCTAAAGTCACCAGCATTTTTTAACAAGACAGGATCAATAACATCCCCGGGATATATCACCGATTTGTATGCTTCAACGTCGACTTTGTTGCTTGGAAGAATGTTGAAGGTGCTTATGAGACCAACAGGACAAAGGATATCAGTCGTTTCAAACACAACGTACTTCTTGTTGATATCAGTTATTGGTTTGGCCTTTGGCACGTTGAAATTTGATGATATGCAGCCATCATAGACTTCTCCAAGAACAAAGTGACTTTCGCGGTTGGGCTCGATCAAGTATTTAAAAAAAACAAGTACTTTGGCAATATACCAGCAAGTTTCAACGCGGGACGGATGACTAACATATATAAAATGTAAGTAAACTGTAAATATGAACGAGAGGAATATATAGAAATGTAGT